TACAAATCACCTACTAAAATATCTGTGAATTGGTTTTTTATATAAATTTTTTCTTATTTGAAATTCAATTACGGGAATTCTACCCATAAATATTAGGTATTATTTATTTTAATTTTTCCAAAAATTTTCCTATGAATTACCTATACAAACATAGCGATGGTAGCTCAAAAATTTTCCAAGTAAATAGCACACAAATTGTCTGAATAAACACTCTTTGAGACACGCTTAATAATGACCAAATACATTCTTTATTAGAAATGTTATTATATCAAAAACCTGTTAATTTCCTATATAGTGAAGATATGTGCAAGAACATCTAGAATTAGGGATGGATTTAAGGGGTCCGAGACAACTCAAATATGTGAATTAGCAGTCATTATTATATTTCAATTAACGTAGTCATCTTTCAATGCAATGAATTTTTTTTCCTCATTGACTTTTCCCTTTGCATTCTTGTATACCAAACAGAGCATCATTTGAAGCATATCAATGTTGAACTCGAGCACATTCGAAATCTATAAAGAACATATTCAATATCAATTCGATTTTTAAATAATATATTATATATACTCACAGCAATTAGTAGGTTTTTTTAAATACGTTGTAGAAGAACCACACAACTGCACTCAAAGTGAGTAAAAGTGATAGAAGGGATGATATGTATTCAACACTTTTTTTTTCGAATAACTTTTCTCTATTAGTCAAACACATCAACATTAAAAGTAATACCATTAATTAATTATCACAACATAAAGAAATATACTTAAATTACCAAAATGTACAAAGGTGCAACGAATACTAATAGAGAAAAGACAAGGCAAACAAATATTGTATTAGACATCCGATTGAGTTTATTGTAAGTAGTACAATACTCTAGCATCTTTCGTCTCGTAAAAAGAGGTACAAATAATTATATATAGTTGGAATTAGAGATGCAACTGAGCTTATTATAATAAGAAGAGTGGTGTTTGTCTTGAAAATGCATAATATATCTAATGTGAACTGAATCACGCAAGGAATGATTTGAAATCTTCAGTCGATTTATCCAGCAAATTTGATAAAATGTTGATATGCAAAAGAAAATTTTATTTGCCTTATTAATTTATTTTTAAAATAATGTGAAAAAAAAATTATTATGGGCTATGAGACATTACTGGAAATAGCGGCATTAGTGATGGATATTTTCGTCGCTAAAGACCAATATTTCCTCGATAACCCTAATTACCGACATACTTATTAGACATGCAACTGAGTTTATTGTAATACAAAGAATGGTGTTCGCCTTGAAAATGCATAATTTGTCCAAAGTGAACTGAATAAACCAATCACGTAATCAATGATCTGAAGTCTTCAGTAGATTTTTTCAGCAAATTTGATAAAATATTGATTTGCAAAAGAAAAAATTATTTGCCATATTAATTTATTTTTAAAAGAATATGAAGAAAAAAGTATTATGGGCTACGAAAAATTACTAAAATAGCAGCATCAACGATGGATATTTCTATCGCTAAATACCAATATTTCGTCGATAACCTTACTTATCGACATTATTTTTCCTTTTCAATATGTATCAATAATTTCTCAATGCAACATAACCGTCGGCGATGATCGACAATTCTTTGACTTCCTATAATGTCCATCAAAATATCGATGGATTTCTATGGATCTATCAGCAACAATCTATTTTTCATATCTGTGACACGTAAAACACTACCAATGAATCATCTAATAAAATATCCGTCGGTGATTTCTTATACAATTTTTATTTTTATTTGAAATTCACTTGCGATAATACCATTGTAAATATTATATAATATTTATTTTTTATTTCAAAAGTTATCGACAGAAATATACCGACAGCAACTTACATACTATCCCAATAAATAGCACACAAAATTGTCCCAATAAACACTCAAAAAATATTTCTAATTACAAGCAAGTACATTCTTGATTAGAAATATTATAACCTTGAAACCATGTCGATTTCCTGATATAGTGAAGATGTGTTCAAGAACATCTTGATTAAGTGGTGGATCCAATTTCATTTCACTAAATTGTATTAAGACCATCTAATTATCTCAATTTTCATCTTCCTATGCAATGATTTTTTTTTTTCTTCGTCAACTTTTTCCTTTTCAGTATTGTATACGAAATAGAGCATCATTTGAAGTATACAAAGCCAAACCTGAGCACATCTGAATCTATTCACCAAAAGAATATATTCAAAGGTTAGAATTGTAAATTATATATAATATATATACTTACTACAGTGTTGTCGTCATTTTTCAATACACCATAAAAACCACACAACACTTAAAGTGAGGAAAATAATGGGAAGGAATGGCATGTTTCGATGGTTCGAATCATTTCTCTCTTTGTGTCAGACATGTCGACGTTAATATAATACCGTTAATTAATTATTACATTAATATAGAAAAATACAATAAAATTACCACAACGCACAAGGTCCAACTTATACTAATTGAGAAAAGACAAGGCCTATCATTCAACAATTTCGCCATGATGTTAGCTTTCCACTAGAAATTGAGTCGGTAGAACAATCAGATTGAATCCAATGATATTTAGTAGAACATAGCCATAGCTTGCTTCTGTTACAATTTAAAGATGTCTTAAGCATATCCCTAAAGAAAATCATAAATTGATATTAACTTTTAATTAGTACAATACCTAACATCTTTCATACATAAAAGAGGTACAAACAAATACATATAGTTTGAATGAGACATCCGACTGAGTTTATTGTAATAAGAATAGTGGTGTTTGGCTTGAAAAATGCATAATATATTATATATCCAAAGAAGTGCACTAAATAAATCAATCACGTAAGGGATGGGTAAAAACCCTTCAATCAATTTTTCATGTTGACCTATAAAAAAAGGAAAATAATTATTTAAAATATTAATTTATTTTAAAGAATATAATGAAAAATAAACTCTGGATTCACATAGGTGCAAAATAAAACATAATTTGTTAATCATTATAATGTACAAACACAAGAAAAAAAAATTATATTATTAAAATGAGAAATGCATAGGCCAATATTGGACTTGTACTCGGGCAAATATTGTAAAACAGATTCTTCTCTGTTAAAGAAGGATTAATTGTAACTAAGAAATAACGCTTCGATGATCATTGCAATAACAATAATGCATGTGAGAAAATCCATTTATATAAACTGAATATGCATGGGAGAAGAATGTGGGAAAATCATCTTGTCCATTCTTTAGTCTTTACACTTGTTTAAAACCTAAGAAAAGGCCGATCCAAAATTCTTTACCTAATTTGCATATTTTCTTTCCTTTGCATCCGCATGTCCATACATAATATTCGAGATGTAGCCCCCCGGGACATAACCCAGTGGTGCAAAGGATAGGAGTGGGATAGTCTTAGCTTTGTTGACAGTCGCAGTGTGAGGATTCGACTCTTGAGATATGGAATTGGACTCTTTGTGAGCATTAGTTTACGGGCAAGCGCTTGTTCCCTAACCTGATGGGACATATCCTACGATTTACCTCCCTCACGATGCTCCAAGGGTGAGACGGTGGGGGCCTTCAAAATTGGGGTTTAACCTTTTTTTATATTATTCGAGATGTAGAAAAGGACGTATGCATGGTACGGTAGGACCATTGCATCTAACAGTCAATTATTTTCATGAAAGTTTGTCCATTTATAGAGCTGTAAAAGTTTTTATTTCTTGCATATACTTCTGTGCATGTATCCTCATCAATTTCACTTGTATATCCATCCAAACCAACGACACTATGATTCTCATTATGCGTTATTAATGTCAAGTTTCTTTGGATACCTCATTGTCGTGGTGTATCATATTTTGATTTAAATGATTGATCCACAAAAGTTGTTTACTAATGGATGACATTGAGGTTTGGACTCAAATATTTATCATGTTGAAGCATCTCGACTCATCTAAAAACTTGAATTAGAAGAATATAAATTTTATTTCTCTTTTGTACATGCCAACAAATGGATTACATGGTGTGTGAATGAATGTAATCAAATTGGGAAAATTATGATGTTAAGATCATTAATAATTCATCAAAAGATAAAAATGGTGGGCTACGAAATTCACTACTAGAAACTGAGGTTTTATAGCCGTAGATATTTTTCTCGCTAAAGGTCGATATTTCATCGATAACTCTACGTACAGTTGGAAATACCAACAAATTTTTATGAGAGATATTAGCAACAACCTTTTTTTTTTTTTATATTGGTGCAAGTCAAATATTACCAGCTTATCACCTAATGAAATATCCGTCGGTGATTTTTTATACAGTTTTATTTTTTATTTGAAACTTACTATGGTAATACCATCTAAATAACATCTATTATCTATTTATTTTTTATTTTAAAAATTACCTACGGATTACCTGGGAATATGTAAAACAGCAAGAAGTTGTCGCTAGTTCAGTCTGTATGCCTTCTCATTTTGGTTTTAAATAATTGATGAAATATTTCGTCAAAAATGCATCGTTAATCCATTGTTAATAATGATGAATTTCATCCCTAAAGCCACAATTTCTGGTATTGTTGAGTGTACACTACATGTAGGAATTACTCAATACATTTTCAAATTATAAAGTTGTATGCTTAATAACCAATATTTCTAATGAAATATGCTTAAAATAGGAAACTAACTTGTGAATCTATGCCTTCGAATAAGCGATAACAAAAGGTCAAAACTCGGAGGCCTCTCTCTCCTGGCATGGCGGCGTTTTTGGAGATCCAACCCACTCACTGGTAACAGCATATGACTGGCAATAAACAAAACTTATAGGAACGAAAAAAGAGAAATCCAAATGATAAATTCATTAATTTATTTAGAAATTCTAACTCAACCACATGGAATCCCATGCCGACGTCCATTTCTCCAGTGTACTTCACCACGTGCTCTCCATTATTCACACTTCTTGAGAAATTTTTTAATGAAACCACTATCTCTTTTTTGTATGTCACACAGAGAGAGAGAGAGAGAGAGAGAGAGAGAGGGAGAGGGAGAGGGAGAGGGAGAGTAATATGATAATATTCATATATGTGGATGAGTGTTCATCAATGGAGTGATGGGCCGAGATTTTATGGTCTGAGTTAACTATAAATACGTCAAATACTTGATCAGTTGGTGCATGCATGCATTTATACATATATCTATATATTTAAGAATATATAGGTGTGTAGGCCGTTTTCTTCCTTATTTGATTCCTCAGATTCTCAAAATATCCAAAAATGGACAAGTACGAGGTTGTGAAAGAGTTGGGAGCTGGAAATTTTGGCGTAGCCAGGCTTATGAGACACAAAGAAACCAAGGAGCTTGTCGCCATGAAATACATCGAGCGTGGACACAAGGTGCGAGAATAAGACTTAATATTTTGTTGTATCTTTTCAATTTCTTACTCAACGATCTGATATATGGTATTATTTGGTTGCCAGATTGATGAAAATGTGGCCAGGGAAATTATTAACCACAGATCACTTAGACATCCCAATATAATTCGTTTCAAAGAGGTCAATTAATTGGAGTTTCAACCATTTTTATGGATGTACAATATTTTGTTATGCCTAACAATAAAAATAAAAAAAAATTGCAGGTCGTTTTGACGCCAACACATTTGGGGATTGTTATGGAGTATGCATCTGGTGGTGAGCTTTTCGATCGAATTTGCACTGCGGGTAGATTTAGTGAAGATGAGGTCAGTTGATCCAAAAATAATTAATTTTCTGTCTAAAATTTGAAGTTTTTCTATGAAGAATTATATATTAATTTCCTTGCATTTCCATTTATTATTTCAGGCTAGGTACTTCTTTCAACAGTTGATATCTGGAGTCTGTTATTGCCACTCCATGGTATGCCATTTCTCTTTTCCAATAACTCGTTTTGAGCTTCTAGACAGAATGAATGAACATAGTTATTGTTTGAAATGGCAGCAAATATGTCATAGAGATTTGAAATTGGAGAACACACTGTTAGATGGAAGTCCAGCTCCCCGCCTCAAAATCTGTGATTTTGGTTATTCCAAGGTAACCAAATCTATACTTCCAATGAATTATATACATAATATAAGTTGATTAATGAATTATAAGTAATTAATTAAGATGGTATTGTATTGTGTTGAAACAGTCATCAGTGCTGCATTCAAGACCAAAATCCACAGTTGGAACTCCAGCTTACATAGCACCAGAAGTTCTCTCCCGCCGAGAATATGATGGCAAAGTAATTCTTTCCTCTATCCCTTAACCTTTTCAACAATTCTGGTGACAATTACAGGGTCGTTAAAACTTACAAATCCAAGTTTCGTATTAGTGATTTCAAGGTTTCCCTTTTTGTTTCAATTTGGTGACTTTGTTAAACATATCTATTGTGGAAAATGACATCTTGATATGACAAAAAGAAAGTAAATTCAACCATGCTACACGAATATCGGATTTGACATCGGGAATGACCGCATATACACACATGGGTGGTCAGACATTATTTTATTTACACGGAAACCACGCATCCATATGAGTGGGTGATCATCGATGCGGTCATTCTCGCAGATCATTTGGCTTTACTCAAGTAAATTTCAGCAGCCACTTTATAACAAAATAAAATTTGATAACTGATGTGAAACTTGGTCGTAAGATAATTGACTGCATTTTAAGTTTTTGACAAGAACATTGAGTGACTGACACAAATTATTATATTCAATGACATAGTTGGCAGATGTATGGTCATGTGCAGTGACACTCTATGTCATGTTGGTGGGAAGTTACCCCTTTGAAGATTCAAAAGATCCCAAGAATTTTAGAAAAACTATTTCAGTGAGTGTGCCTATCATAATCCAATTATATTCAATATCTTGTATATCTCATAATAATAAATTATCAAGTTTTTTCCTCACTCAATTTCTTCTCATTCTGCAGAGAATAATGGCTGTTCAATACAAAATCCCAGATTATGTTTATATTTCTCAAGATTGTAGACACCTACTTTCTCGTATTTTTGTTGCAAATTCTTCGAGGGTATTTCTTTTTTCCCTTTAATATCGTTTACTGTCTAATAATGTATAGTACAAACACGCCAATTCTAGAAATGACCACTTGCAGAGGCTGACAATAAAAGACATTAAGAACCACCCATGGTTCTTGAAGAACTTGCCAAGGGAACTCACTGAATCAGCTCAGGCTGTCTACTATAAGAGAGATGATCCAAGTTTTTCCCTTCAAAGCATTGAAGAGATAATGAAAATTGTTGAAGAGGCTAGAAACCCTCCTCCAGCATCAAGGCCGATTGCCGGATTCGGGTGGGGAGTCGAAGAAGAAGAGTATGAAGGAGAATTAGAAGAGGTGGAAGAAGAAGAAGATGAGTACGATAGGCAAGTTAAGGCAGTACATGCAAGTGGAGAATTTTATGTCAATTCAATCTAAGCAGTGATCACAACATTGAGTTCGAAGTTCTGATTGAATTGTACGACATATAAGCACGGATATTGTTGAACATGCACTAGGATTTACTTATTTGAACTTTTTCATTATGTCAAGAGTACTTATTCTTATTGATAATTCTGCCAATACTTTATATTTTTAAAACCTTAGAAAACAAGTCGAAAGATGAGGAAAGGAAAAGTCAAATAATCAGATCAAATAGATAAGTAAACAAGAAACAAAGTACACCGTGAGGATCATAAGAGGTGTTGCACCATGCAGAAGCCCAAATATTGAGATTTTAAGCAAACATGAAAAGAGAAAACGAACACGACCTGCACTTGGCCTACATCTATGGGCGGAGACAAGAACAACTTTATTAAAAGGATAAAACATGGATCCAGTAATTTAGTATAACAATAAAGTTTGAAATGAAAATTCATGCAACTTAAAATACAAATTCAGCATTCACGGTCTTGATAAAAACACTATGTACCTTTTAAATCACACCTATCATCTCAGCACTGAGCTATCAAATCCTCATCATATCAGCAATCTAAGGAATTGCAACTTCAAAAACCTTGAACCTCCATGTATTTAAAATTCGATGGCCTTCAACCTTATAAAAGCATTTTTCTCGCAAAAAACTTACTTCGCTCAGTCACTATAATCCATACTTCCACTGAGAGAGCTGCTGGCATTTCGGATGTGTAGCGAGAGACTCCTCATATGCCCATCAAGCGAAGAAACATCCGACTTTTTCTCCTTAAAAAATCTCTCTCTCTCAACATGTTTAGCAGGTGGTGGTGGAATCACAACTGCTGGTCGACCTACAGTAGCTTCTTGATCAAGCTCCATAGTTGGTGGCCGCACATGCTTTGGCTCCATAATTAGTGGCCAAACGGGTTGTTGCTTTGGCTCCACAGTTAGTGGTCGAATGAGTGGGCGATGAAGCATCTCCGCAGGAACAGGACATCCCAGCAAACCCAATGGCCGCTCTAGTTGGCAGCCTTCATCTTCTGGTCGTAGACAAGCTTTCCCTTTTCTTATCCTGTCCAATGACAGTTAAGTGACCATTATAGTTAGATGATGAAAACCAAATTTACAGCAAAAAAAATATTATAATAAATTAATAATAATATTAACAAGCTCCAGCAACATTGGAACAGAGACAAGAAAAGCAGAATCTCTATCCACCTACCTGCAAGGAAACTAGCTTATTTTTACTACAGTAATTCCGTGGATAACTGGACTATCGCTTCTCAATCCATTGCTCCATTCACAAGGTGGTCCTTTTCATTATAGTTGTACATGGGAAACACCCAAATTTCTTTAAAAATCATGACCATGGTCTCCCATGTCCAACTTTATGAAGCTTGATTTAGCTTCTTAACTTGGACTGTCCGCAGAAATTAGGAAGACATGCTTCCATGATGGTCACTTGACCATTTAACAAAAATTTGTATATTTTCCATTAGTGGAGCCTGATTGTGAAACTATAGTAAAAAGTTGGGAATCAACTTGATCTTTTCGAATGTTGCGCAACTGGCAAAGGGGGCAATAGTTTGGGGACCAACACTGAAACTTCACCAATTTTTGACTAAGTGCTATATTTCAGTGTCGTTGAATTCAATTTTATACCGAGATAATCAACATTAATAAGCGCGTACCTTCGGAAAAGTTGTTCAGCCTCCTCTTCCTCTGCCTGTTCTCGGTCAATATGCCTTGATATGGACATCGTCCGTTCATGTTCAATATGACTCGATATGGACATTGTCCTACCAGAAACAAGTGCATCGTGCCTATGCAAAACTCTTTCAAGCTTCTCATTAAGCTCAATCGCACTAGAGACTATCTTTTCATCCCTAGAAGATTCAGATATAATGTTGTTACTTCGATATTATGAATATACTAATCACAATCCAAAATAAACTTGGACTTCTTAAAGTCCATCCCAGGGGTAGTAAAAAAGGAAGAAAAGTTATTGATGTAGTATATCATAGAAGTACATCCAGATATCATGTGATGCATCACAAGTCTCACTGAAACGCATGACGTCAGACGGTTATGAAATGAATCCTCACAGGCTATAGGGGGGAAGAAAGATATTAATACTAAAAATGTATGATTGATCAACCTCAAAATTGAAAATTCATAGTAGCGATATTGGTTTTTTTCGACTTTCATTATTACAAAAGAAATTCCATGAAAATGTTAAGAGGAAATTTATCTCTAAATGATATTGAGGTATCCAACATTCCAGGTTTGAGAAGAATGCCATTACCACAATAAATTGTCATCTTTCCCCACAAAATGTAAAATTAGCCAGTGAATGCAAATAGAGAGAATGGCTATTAATTCAAGAATCACAAAATCCAGAAAACAAAGAAAAATGGCTTATGATAGACAGATGAATCAACAGTAAGTCCTAAAAACGAGCAGTCAGGTGGAAGCGCTTCTGAACATAATATATTTAATTCCACTTCACATGATTGGTGTGGATTGCTACACGTAGAGCCATTGCTGTAGAAATCTTATGATGTCAATCATCTATAAGTTATTCATGAAAAAAGAAAGGAAAGAGTATAAAAAGCAACATATGATGCATTTTTGGCATTCTTTATAAGCATACATGCCTCGGTAAATAAGGATTTAGACCAGCAAATGTGTGACAATTACCAGCTTAAATTGCTATGCAACAGCTGGTGGACAGCAATTGGGGATATGCAGACTCAAACTGATAGAAGCATTCCCCAGTTGATCAAAGGGGGCAGAAATCTGAATTCATAATCCACATTATACTTAGCAGATTCACTGGTTGGTCCAAAAAGGTACAACCTGACAAAGCCACTTTGAGTATTTGACCCAAAACATTGCCCTTGAGAAAATTGCAAGCACGCTGCCATTTTTTCTCACATTTAATCACTTTGGTCATTCACTTCGCTCATACAACGCACTTCACAACAACCCCGTGTATTCAATCAAGCAAAAAAAAAAAAATTGGAAGAAATTTAGTTTTGGGTGAAATATTGGATGTGTCATGATTCCTCCAAATATACAGCTTTTGACCATCACATGTCATATGACATGCATGCAGACATTCAAGTTCAGTTGCCAAACATAAGAAATGACAATTATACAGAACAAATACTAAAGTATAATAATCCTGCAGACAGTAAATTGTTCAACTATTCATTTAGTTGACATCAAATTTATTGGAAACAAGTCTTAGCTCGTTGTAAGGATCAACTGAATTATTACACTACTTTTATGTTATGCATACCATTCTGCTCTCATATCATATGATGCAATTCTAGTAAAAACATACAGTGCATGACGATGCAATAACTAGGAAGCTAATAAGAAGCTTAAGTAACTAAAATGAGCTGAGTTCAACAAGCATATAAACTACCTGTCTCATAAGTAAGCCATTACCAGATGCAGCAATTGTAAGATTATTTGATGAAGTAAAAAATAAGGTCTTACCGAGAAGTCATTGCAAGTTGCATTATTCGTTGCTTTTGGAAAGAACATTGTTCCACAAGATCAAGTGTGAACTCGTCTTTCGCTCCCTAGAAGAACAATAAAGTTGGAAAAACCCCAGGGAAACAAATCAGAAGCTCCACAACATGGTAGATAAGTCAATTGTCAATTGCACTAATCTTAAAATTGTTGAATTAAGACAAAGTAAGTTGTTGGTCCTTTTTTTCTCATGGTTTTAAGGCTTAAAGGGGATTACAATATTATGGACAACGAAAATTATTAATGAATGGGGCAATTAGGTTTCCTCTTCCTAGGTTTTACTATTCAAGCTCAAAGTATAGCTTTGTCGGCTTAGGTCAGCATTTCATCCAGGATCTGCAAATATCTAGCCTTTTCTCCCATATTGTTCAAGATTGCTTCCTGTTTGCTTTCATTATCATGTCTATAATTCATTATGCTCAGCAGAAGAATAGAGAATACTACACCAGTAAATACCTCAGGATGTTGAGCATCAACAGCATTAAGCACATCCTCCAAGACCTCCAGTGCACTGCCAGCTTTCTCAAGAATACTGTGTAAAATTAAACTTATTTTAAGGGAAGGAAAACTAGGGTAGTAACCACAAGTGCGTCAAAAAAAATGATACTAAGAACGATCAACTTCTTTTTCTTCTATGAATAAAAGGTACACATGGATACCAAGTCATATATATGAAGAAACGATGATACCTGTCTTCAGAAACCTTCTGAGGCTGGGTCTGTGGTGCACTTCTTTCACATTGAGTATTAGCAAATTCCTTATCAAGTAAATTATTCTCATTGTTGTTTGATGTAGCATGAGGTTTTGGGATATCACGAGGCCTCTGAGAAAATTGTACTCCTGCACTCTGCGAACATAGTATCCAAGGTTAACCTAGTCTGCAACATTTAGAGTATTTCCACCACAATATATGCAAAACATCACAGTTATGCCCCAGCAGAGGCAACAGAAAAACATATTATACAATAAACTAAGTAATCCTAATTACAATTGAAAAAATTAAAATTAAAATTAAAATATATATATATATATCTTCCATGCATGGAATGTAAGATTGGTATACATCTCCAAGGCATATTTTTCTTACAGGAAATTCCATCCTTCAATTAAATGAGGTCCATCAACTTCTTAAACTCTATATGCAGTTAAAAGCATAATACATCATTAATAAGAGTATACAACCACCGTAAATTTACAAGATGTACGACATGGCCTTTGCTGCTTTTATTACCTCATTTGAAAGTTTTCGCTTTCATCTTCCCCAGACCCGAAAATCCAAAAATAATTGTTATATTTTATTTGGAAATGGATTTATAGATTTACTTTTACTAGATTTGTCAATAATCAATCCATGTGGCGAAAAAGGATTGACATAGCCTACCCCAAATTTATTGGAAATAAGATTCATTTGCTATTGTTTCTATTTAGAGATGCAAGCCTTGTTTGACACAGCAATTGAAAAGTTAAAGTTTCTTTTGAGATTAAGAGGTTGCTTTTGGTCTTACAAGATAATTTTCTTTAGTGCTCTGTCTTTTTAGGTGAGCTTTTAGAGAAAGTTTTGTCCAATGTGGCTTCCTCATTAAGAGCTTATTCAATAAGTAGAAGTAGAAACTATCCAAAGGCCGTAATCTTACATATTATTATAAATTTTATATTCTAAAATAAGGTTTTCTGGTAATTAGTGGAAGGCAGGAAACCAAGAAATATAAAAATCACTTCTCTTATTGGTAAGCATTACATAAACAACTAACATTAAAATAATTTTCCAAAATAATGTCTGTTTACACTTTTGAAACAAAAAAATTCTGAGGTATAACTTGTGCTTGACTTACATACTTGTCACTTTTCTTTTCTGGTACACTCAACAAATATCAAAATACTTCCAAAAAATTATCATGTGTTAACAATTTTGAGAAGATCAATATTCTTATGAACTAGACATGGTAAAGATTCTCCATCTTCTTATTGAATGATAAATCAGTACAAATAATACCATCAAAGAACAGATGATGAGGATAGCTAAGGATTAAAACATAACATCTCCATGGTTAAAAATTATAAAGCTTCAGAGGGTAATGGAATACAAAGATATACGACGATAACAATAGAAATACACCATTGCACAATTACAGATTCCATCAAAACTTCGAGGTTAAGATGTTAATCAAGTATTGTTCATGTTGACTTTGTTGCACTAAAACTATTCTTGAATCAAGTAAAGAAGTAATCAGTGTTCCTAAATTGTGTCTTCAATGGCAATGTGAAAAGCTAAATGCATTATTAGAAGAAAAAAAAAAGTCTTGAAGATCTATATTCATTTCAGAGTGAACTAGAGTTGAAGAGGTGTTACAGTTACATGCTCAACTCGTATTTTATTGATATGAAATTTTATTCTAGATTGGTGAAAACTTGATATATCACACATTCAACGTGTTTACTACCTACCACCAATTCATAATATGCAGAATAATATTGAGGGAACCTCCCAGAAGCTCCACCTACAGATGTCTGAGCTGCATCTAAAAGAAGAAAAATCTTTTCCCGAACAGGAAGGTCTGACTGTAAAAAGGAGACAAATTATTTCTCACCTCAATCAAATCAGCTTATAAATGAGAATAAAAAATAGAGAAGCATCAACCTTCTTCTTAACTATTTTCACAAGTATGGGAAGAATTCCTGTTTCTGTAACCTGCTTATGAACGGGTTCTCCAATATTATTCATCAACATCTCCAGCAACTGTATGATTTGAGCAACAGAAAGAACAACAAGCTGGGTTATTGATTCTTCCAGCAAGTCTAGGGATATAAACATATCATGCAATGCCGACAATAGGAACGTAGATTGATCAAGGCAAAAATATTTTGAGCCCCAGAAGTACTCACCATTACTGCAAATAGTTTTGTGTTTGAGTGTTTGCTTCCCAAGCGTTTTTTTATAGCTTTTATGACATCTTTCGCTTGTCTGTATTAATAAAACACCCCAAAATTGGTAAGATAATAGTGATGATAACATCAAGGTGCAAAATAAAGGTTAAATCACACACAACAGCCATGTTTTAAAAAATCAGCTCAAAACTACAGCTAATATTCTCTCTATATTACCAATTTCCAAGAAACTTATCTAATGTTATAAATAATAGAGTAAAAGAAAAAAGTTCAGATTTGAAATTTACCTCCTACATCTAGACTGTAGAAGAAACAATTATCAACCACTAATTAAAAACAACATGAAAATTTGTAAACCGGATAAAACAAGACAAATATTTTATATAAACCTTCTGACAAAATAATAAACAACCGAATTGAAGCCCTATCAACAGTGGAAAGTATAAAATAACAGTCATATAGCACAACACATCAATAATGGCTGCATCTGAACACAGTAAAAAGTAAGGATTGAATCTTACCTGTGATCACGTGCAACTAATTCACAAATCTCAATGTTTTTCATCCAATCCATTTCAGTAAGTTTATCATTTGTTGCAGAATTAACAAGTTCAGATGCCATATTTACCATCTCTGCTGTAAGAAAAACGAGTTAAACGAGTGTAAATACATTATTGTAACTTATCAACATGTTTCGATTGAAAACCTGTACAGCTATACCTAGTCATATAGGCAGTGAATTTTGATGTTATCAACTAATAAGATTTGTCTCACATGCTCACATTAGAACCATCACCGACATTTGACAAAAAGTACAAAACTAACAACATAAGGCCGCAAAGCTAAAGCTAGAAGGTACTAAACTCCAAGAGGTCATTAGTGTTGTTTGATTGAATGAGATGGAATGACTCGACGACTTATAGTAAGATATCAGACATTCATTGGAACAGAATGCATTTAGCACATGACACGTTTCTTCTCCTTTAAATACGCGGTACATCACTGCGACAAATTGATTGGTCGACATCAATGTTCCATTTACTTTTTAAGTTTCAAACAAACAATATGCTAACAGTATTAATTTAGATTCATGCGATATACTAAACTACTTCTTATTGAGACAATTTTTGGTCATCAACTGCATGACTTTAAGCAAAATTTGTTCCCAGAACATACAAAATGCAAGCAGACAAAGGGAAAGCGTTAGTATACAAACACACTATTGACAATTAATATGATTATATATTTCATCTATGTGCTTTTTAGAAATAGAATAACAATCTTACATGGATAAGATCACATTTTTCGACTGTTTATTCTAATCTTCCACAATTATCAAACACCGTGGCATACTGAAATCAGATTTCATCATATCCATAACTAACATTCAAGGGGAACAAGACAATAAAAAAATAGGGGAAAAAATGATCAAGATAACAATCTATAGCAAAATACACAAAGATTAAAATTAGTGGCTTATACACTATGTATAAAAATCATTTAACAGCTCATTATACTTTCCATGTTCTCAAAAACAACAAAATTGACGAATTTAATAATTCATAATTCACTTTATTTTACCCTCATTTTTTTTTCTTTTTTCATATTCAAATCATTTACAGAAATGAAATGGGGATTACTCGTTTTAGCTCCTTTATACTTCGCTTTCTCTTCACTCACCCAAAAAATTAATTAATTAATTAATTAAAGCACTCGTCTGTTCGTTTTCAGATCTCAAGCAAGTATTCAAGAAAGAGGATATAAAACTGTAATTGATCTCAATAAAAATGTGAATTCTTTTATTCGTCACAAAAATTATAGTAAAAAAATTAATTTATCCTAAATTAAATTTTAAAAAAAATCACAGGACGAGCAAACTAAGATGAAAAATCCGTACCTGGAGAGTCAGTAAAGAGTAAAACGGCTGCTTCAATGGCGATATATATTTGTATATTTTGTTGTAATTACAACTGTGCTACGTATAAATAAATACATACATACGTATATTTGTATATGGTATGTACGATAAAGAGAGCAAATAAACTGAGAATCCCTTGTAATTACTTTACCAATTTACTTTGTTTACATTCTTCCAGGAATTATACATTGAAGTGCAATCGACAATCTATGTGTATTATTTTTCACTCTCTCCCTGTCTCTCTCCTCTCTCTCTATATATATAGGTATACGTGTATGTATGTATGTATGTATGTGTGTGTGTATATATATGTATGTATGTATGTGTATGTATGTATGTATGTATATGTATGCATATGCATATACATACGCGCTGGTGCGAAGGTGTTTGTTATTTTTATATAATGGAGTTAAAAATTATAATTACCCAAGGACAAATTCGGAATGCCAATTTATAGTTCAATTTTGACGCTTTCAAACATAAAGGGCTAAATTTGTAAATTGAATTGTGAAGTCCCACAACCGCCTATATCCGAAGAAGTGCACGTAGCACTAAGGAACTTGTTAATATCACTGGGCGGTGATATACGTTGAGATTTTCAATGCGTACGTGGCAAGAGATAAATGGTTACTGATAATCCCACATGGGTGATTCTTCAGGGATGCATGAGGGCACAGACTAAAAGGCAGCAGCACAAATTATTGTCTCCCACGTGTCTGGTTAAAGCAAGCGCGTACTTTTTGACTAAAGTGTACTCGAGGATTTTGCTGTTTAACAACATTAGGAAAAGAGGTGGGCGGTCCGACGGTTCAGCAGAAGTAACACAGTGTTTGGCTGTTTGCTAGCATAGATTCTCGTATCGAGGTAGAGCTTGCTTCTTGTTTGGGCCACTCAGATTCTTTCTTTTTATAAATTTTGTGAAGATTGATGATTTTTAAACTAATCTTGATTGATGAACAATGGTCGTTAAGAAATTGGCTCTCTTTACCATCACACTGGCCCACAACAATGACACGGCTCATCTCGCACCGTCCTACATGGTACGACCTTCAAAGGGGAGCTGCCAACTCATCGATGACCTTCAAAGGGGGAGCCGCCACTTCTTATTTCTCCTCATCCGACCATCTCCGCCCAAGCTCAATCATATGCTCTGCTTGGCAAGGCCACGTGTTTGAGCTCAACTATTTGGTCAACTCGACCACCCGACCTTGATTTGGTTTAACGATCCATGACGTTCCATCTCGATCCTTTTTCTCTTCTTCAAACATCTACTCTTAATGACCTCTATAGCGATAATTGATAGGTAACCATTTAGAGTAGGTCTTGTAAACTTAACCGGAGTCATGGTACTTGATCAATTCATTAGTTATATTCACAAGAGACCTAGTCCCAATTAAGCCCATGTTTGTCATCCTTTAACAAAATAAATTGTTTGTTACAGTAATATTCTTCATTACACATTTACATAATAAAATATTTTACTCACAAATCAATAAAATTTCTTTAAATTATAGTCTTACATTCTCTAAAAACTACTGTTCAAAACTCTATAACTTCTCCCATAATGAACGACAAACGGGCTCTAGAAGAACCCCTGAAAGTAGATCGAGCTAGCCACCCAAAATCCAACTAGATCTCAATTAGAAATAATCCCATATAATTCATACGTCAAGAAATTCACCACATATCCCTATTTAAGGGTTCCAAATCTAGCAACAAATGTCCTAATGTCCTCCACCCTCTGTAGATTTTCCTCAATATGTCCTCGATAAATGCCTGTGTAAAAGCCTCCTTGCATTTAATGTAAAATCTAATAATATCATATCGTGCTGTATATATTTTGTTCCATATTTAGACTCTTTAGAGGTATTAATCCTGCAAGCACTTTTGTATATTAGAAGAGAGATGTCTAAAAAGTATCATCCTATTAGTACTAGTGCACAAAACATGCATTAAAGAGATTTCGCATGTGCATGCCAAACTTCAAATCATTTATTTATTTAATCTCGTTCTATCATTATTCGTTTCGATTTTCACAAAAAAAAATTCTGTCATGTAAATGTCAATTCTCAGCATCTGTGTTCAACACTACATAAGTGCATATTATTTCCGGTACATAATGGTGTGTGCATATAATATATTCTATCAATGCATCTCTACCACGTATCAACAACATCAAATGCCTTCTCTTCGCTTGAAGAGTGTTTCTCCACTGGGGGTCAATAAATTGTTTCCCTAATATTCCCTGCAAAATGTGTCTCACTTTCTTCAGCAGTTGAAGCTGATGATGCACCTGCACCAGCTTTCGCGTCGAAAGGCTGATCAGTTCACCAAGGAGGTGAACCAACCAGGGATCCAACCACTCGCCTCACAACTCCACCGCCATTGGCACGGTCCTTTGACTTGGTTACCAAATAATTAAGCCACAGCAATATTTCAAGGATATGAACAAACATAACTTCTGGTAGTCACAATGTAATTGCTTCATCCACGCAAAAATTTCTTCAAACGCTTGGTGATAAATTATTCACGAGGTTGGCCTCAAATTTATTGGCAATAAGGCTAAGTTTGCGCTTATATATAGAGAACCAAAAAGTAAGATTATTGGAACAATGAAAGACATCTCCCAATTCACAACCCATCTGGCAACAGTAACTGAAATCGCTGTCAAGTGTAACCAAGTAGCATAATCGACAATACTACATGGCAGATGGGCTGTTTTCACTGTAATGGATATTGATGAATCATATCATGGCCTCCCAAAGGGAGTTATAATAGACCACAACCACCCTTTAAAAAAAAGGAAAAAAAAGAAGCAAATAATATAACAAAGAACAGCAGCCATTACAGATTCGGCCTAACTCAATATTTCGGAAATATAATTTGTAATTGAATAATAGCGTATGCAAAAATCGCTCATGAAAAAACAATCACATTTTCATTTCACTTTGTTCTTTCTTGTAACTTTCCAATTCTTGCCCTGATTTCCAGCCAAAACAGTAAATAGACTCTCATTGTTATACAGCATAGTAACAAGGACTATGATAAAAAATTTAAAACTCCTGCAGTAAACAGAGGAATTCTTTGTTTTTCAAGCAGAGAAAAAAGAATCGATTCACAAAGATAGAGGCAAGGACAAAGAAGTTCAATGTTGTCTGAACCATATAAAAGCAAAAGGAGCTCCTTAAATCTGGAGTTCATGAAGCACTGAAGCAGCAAGAAATGATTGATTCAAGCTTGTATTGAACTGCCTGGATCTCACGAAGAATCCTACCTGTCAGACATACTCACATACACGTTCTCAGTCGTCAAATTCTCCCTAAGACAACTTACGAGTCTCATATCTTCTTAAAATCTTCGGGCCATATGTAGGTAAAGATAGCCGCCAACTACCTAATCAATTTGAGGGACATAAATAACTACAGGCAATGACTTGCATATCTCTGTAAGTAGTTTGATAGGATCCTGTATTTTCTGTACTTATAAATGGAAACAAAGGATTAAAGGCACAAGTATGGATGAATAAAAAGGAACTATAATGCAGAATTTTATTGATGAAGGCGAGTGAACAGCTTCCTGGGAAATTCGAGAGACCCAGTAACTCTCCTCACAGACTTCACCAGCCACTAGATAGATTTCTATTTCCCCCCTCCCATACATTTATTTCCCCACCCCAAAGTTCAACTCCCCAAAATGCCCCTATCTCTAACTAATAACAGATATGAGGGAAACCGAATTGGTTTTCCCTGAACAGAATTAGTTTCCGTGTCTCGAGAGCCCATCTGCCTCCCTATTCTTTTTCCTTGTGTATATGAAGAGAACCAGGGGTCTATCATTACCCCCTTCCCCAAAATCCACCTTGTCCTCAAGGTGAAAGTCATAAAACTGTTGTCTGATGATGTTGAAAGGCTCCCAAGTAGCTTCAAAATCCGGGGCATCCTTCCACTTGATGAGAACTTCCGGTCCCATGCTCGAGTCTGTGCTGGGGTATCGAACTTGTAACACTGCTTCTAGCTGTACTGTGAACTGTCCATTTGCTGATAGTTGGGAAGGTAGTTGGCAAACTGTCTGGACTGCCCCAACCGCCCTTCGTAGCTGTGACACATGAAACACTGAATGGATGGCAGCCTCTTTCGGAAGTTTTAATTTATACACGACTTGTCCCACTTTTGCCTCAACTTCAAATGGTCCATAGTAGCGCAGGGAGAGTTTTGCTGACGGTCTGCTAGACACAGACCTTTGGCGATAAGGCCTTAACTTGAGGTATACTCTTTCCCCAACCTCAAATTGAATGTCCCTGCACTGGCCATCTACTTCCTGTTTCATTCGCTGCTGTGCACGTTGCAGCTGTAATTTCAATTCCAGTAACACTTCATCCCTTGCAACTAAAGCTTGCTCGACTGATAACACAACTGTACTTCCCTTCTCAAATGGAAGAACCGGCCTTGCAACTAAAGCTTGCTCGACTGATAACACAACTGTACTTCCCTTCTCAAATGGAAGAACCGGGGGAGGGGCGCGCCCCTATCCTATCTGAAAGGGGGTATGTTTAGTTGCTATGTGAAAGGAAGTATTATACCAAAATTCTGCCCAAGGTAACCACTGGCTCCAAGAACGAGGCTTACCCGAGGCAAAACATCTCAAGTAAGTTTCCAAACACCGGTTCACCACTTCGGATTGGCCATCCGTTTGTGGGTGGTACGCTGTGCTCCGTTTGAGGACCGTTCCCTATGATCTGAATAACTCCTCCCAAAATTTACTCATAAAGACCCGATCCCTGTCAGATACTATAGACTGAGGAATGCCGTGCAACCGAACAATCTCGCGGAGGAAAACATTGGCTACTGACTGAGCAGTAAATGGATGCTCAAGGCAGATGAAATGGCTGTACTTACTCAAACGATCGACAACCACCAATATAGTGTCCCATCCCTCTGATTTAGGTAACCCTTCAATAAAGTCCATGGAGATGTCCGCCCAAATTAGTTCTGGAATTGGTAGCGACTGTAATAGGCCCTGAGGTGACAAGTACTTATTTTGCTGACACACCCCACATCTTGCCACAAAATCCCTCACATCTTTCTTCATTCCCTTCTAATACACCTCATGTACTATTCTTCTATACGTTTTGAGGAAGCCCGAATGGCCACCAACTCGGGACTCGTGACACTGTTCATCATTAGCTCCGGAAATTGGGATGCTTTCGGCAACACAATCCTGCCCTTGTAGCATAAAACCCCATCTAGCACAGAATAGCCTGGTCTGATCTCCGCCCCTATTACACAGCTATCTACTATTCCTCTCAGTTCATCATTAGCTACCACTTTCTTGATCTCTTCTAGTTGCAACACTTCAGGCATAGATAAGGTTAGAACACTCAAAATCGGTTCAACCTGGAGAGTGCGTCCACAGCCCTATTTTCAAGCCCCGGACGATACTGAATATCAAAATCAAAACCCAGCAGTTTCGTAACCCATTTCTGATGACCTTCACTAATTAGCCATTGCTCAAGTAGGAATTTCAAACTGCGCTGGTCAGTCCTTACCACAAAATGTCGTCCCAACAAGTAGTGGCGCCATTTTTGTACAGCCAACACAATCGCCATTAGTTCCCACTCATACACAGACTTCTGTCGAGCAGTGCGTGGCAACACCTGACTAAAGTAGGCTATGGGATGATGACTTTGCATCAGAACCGCCCCCAATCCATGGCCCAATGCATCGGTTTCCACCACGAACAACTGAGAAAATTTTGGCAAGGCCAAGACAGGAGCTTGCGTCATTGCTGATTTCAAACTACAAAAAGCTGCCTCTGCACTTGCATTCCAGCCGAAACAATCTTTCTTAAGGAGCTCTGTTAACGGCCAAGCAATCTTGGCATAACCCGCTACAAAACGCCGATAGTATCCCCTGAGCCCTAGGAACCCACACAACTCTTTCAAATTTTGGGGTTTAGGCCAATTGCACATCGCCTCAATTTCTTATTTATCTGCCGCTACCCCTTTTCCGGATATGACATGACCCAGGTATTCAATTTGTTGCTGTCCAAACGTGCATTTCTTCTCATTTGCAAACAATTGATGCCTTAGTAGGCATTCTAAAACGATGTTCAAATGGTGCTCGTGTTCTTCTGCTGATTTACTGTAGACAAATATATCATCAAAAAACACCAGCACAAATTTTCTGAGATGCTACTGGAAAAATTCATTCATCAGACCTTGAAAAGTTGCGGGTGCATTAGTCAAACCGAACGGCATGACTAAGAATTCGTAATGACCCTCGTGAGTTCTAAAAGCTGCTTTGGAAACATCTTCTTCCTTCATTCTGATCTGGTGATACCCCGATTTTAGGTCCAACTTCGAAAAAATTACAGCCTCATGCAACTCCTCTAGCAACTCATCAATTACCGGAATAGGAAATCTGTTTGGCACCGTAATTTTGTTGAGGGCACGGTAATCTACACAAAAGCGCCAACTGCTGTCTTTCTTCTTAACTAATAAGACTGGGCTCGAAAAAGGACTGCAACTAGGTTGTATGATTCCCGCAGTAAGCATATCCCTGACCAGTCGCTCAATCTCATTTTTTTTAAAATAAGGATATCGGTACGGCCGGACATTCACGGGAGCTGATCCCGGCTGTAACACAATTTCATGATCTCGAGGGCGAGGGGGGGAATCATATCCAGCCACTCGAAAACCTCCTTGTAGTGCTGTAGCAATTTACCGAACGGTTCAGCAACCCCAGGCACATCCCTCTCTTCTTCCACCCCCATACTTCCAAGCTCTAATAGTACCCCTTGGTCGCCCTCTAAAGGTTTTAACCATAGATTTGATTAAGACCTATGACTTCTGTAGGCTTAAATCACCTTGCAGCAGCACTGTGTTCCCCCTACTTGGAACTTCATTGTTAATTTTCCCCAATTAACCTACATCTTTCCCAACGTCCCCAACCATTTCACACCCAAAATAACATCAGTACATCCCAATTGTAATGGTAGGAAATCATCGACTACATCAATGTTTGGTAAGGATATCATCACCCCTCTACAAATGCTCCCACCACTGACTGACATCCCTGTACCCATGAGGACTCCATACCTGGTCGTAGTTGATGTGGGCAGTTTCAGCTGCTTTACCAACTCCATGGAGATGAAGTTGTGGGTGGCCCCACAATCAATAAGCACCACCACGTCTTTTCCCGAAATGAACCCAACTAACTTCATGGTTTTTGGCGTACTTAGTCCCACTACCGAATTAATTGACAGCTCTATCGTTTCCCCTACCTCAATTCCTTCCTCCCCCTCTAATTGTTCCACCCCATCCTCAACTCCTTCTTCCTCTTGCACCACCAAGACCTGCAGCTCTCTATTCCGGCATCTGTGACCCGGCCCGTACTTCTCATCACAACGGTAACATAAACCCTTCTCCCTTTTCAACTGCAATTCGGCGTCGGTTAGCCTCTTGAATGGCGACGACCCTTTAGCTGTGGTCGGCGCGCGTAACACTGTCGTGGGTTTCACTGTGGACGGCAAGGGCTGACCGTGGGACAATGGCTGATAACGAGGCTTAAAAGGGCTGCAGTCTGCTGGTGGGCTCGAATAATTGCTCTTCTGCTTAGAGGGGCCAGAAAATATTTGGGCCTGTTTTATAGTTTCATTCCTTTCTTCCACGCGCTGGGCTAATTCCATAATATGGTCCAACCCACGTGGTTTAAACATGCGTACCTCAGCCCGAATATCTGGCTTCAGCCCATTAAGGAAATTACCCTCCATCACTTCTTCACTGATCGTCGTTAATGGTGCTGCCAGGACCTCAAACATACGCCGATACTCACGCACCGAGCCCTCCTGACTCAACGCCAGGAATTTCTCCAGATTCGATCCCTCTTGGGGAGGCCGAAATCGTTGCAGCAGTAGTGATTTTAAATCCTCCCACCTTTTAACGGGCTGTCGACTATCTTCCCATTGAAACCATGCTAGAGCCTCCCCCTCGAAGCTCGCTGCTGCCTCATCAATTTTCTCCCAATTTGATAACTGGTTCATAGTGAAATACCGTTCAGCACGAAAAATCCAGCCATCTGGGTTCTCGCCGTCGAACACCGGCATTTCAAGTCGGCGGGTTCGATTTTCTGCTCGCCCGGCTTCCTCCCTGACTCTACTGCCCTCGCTGTGGGTACCCAGCTCGTCAGGCTTTGGTGGAATTTCGTTGGGCTGGGTGGGTTCTGCTGAACCTTCTACCTTACCCTTCTCTGTCTTCTCCCTTTCCTAAACTTCCCACTTGTTCATTATCACATCAAACTTATCCATCAGTCCACTTATATTTCTCTCTAATTCCTATTGAACCCCATCTAATTTCTCCTCCAACGTGACAACCCAATCAGTAAGGGTCATCCTTCCAGGTGGATGCTCTGATACCAAATTGATAGGATCCTGTATTTTCTGTACTTATAAATGGAAACAAAGGATTAAAGGCACAAGTATGGATGAATAAAAAGGAACTATAATGCAGAATTTTATTGATGAAGGCGAGTGAACAGCTTCCTGGGAAATTCGAGAGACCCAGTAACTCTCCTCACAGACTTCCCCAGCCACTAGATAGATTTCTATTTCCCCCCTCCCATACATTTATTTCCCCACCCCAAAGTTCAACTCCCCAAAATGCCCCTATCTCTAACTAATAACAGATTTGAGGGAAACCGAATTGGTTTTCCCTTAACAGAATTAGTTTCCCTGTTTCGAGAGCCCATCTGCCTCCCTATTCTTTTTCCTTGTGTATGTGAAGAAAACCGGGGGTCTATCATAGTTCTAGAATCTTTGATGTGGAAATCGGGACTTATATAAACAAAAACTATAATCAATCTCATTCAATCTAATTATATGTCAATTGTACCACCAGCATTTACTATTATGAGCAAAACAATTCATGCTGCAGACCCCCAAAAAAAGGGGAAAAAATTCCTAACCCATTACTTATGTGCATATGTAAATACATAAATTAGAGTTTGTATGTATCTAGCTTATGTTTAGTAACATTTTGATTGATCCTAAGTCTTGACCTCTCATGGAAAGTTGGATACTCATCCTAGCGTATTATCATTGTGCCATTGCTTATAAATCAAGACTCAAGAGTCTCATCACCCTTCGCTAGTTCCATACACTTGATGATGGTTGTTGCTGACACAAAATTTTCGAGCAAAGACTTTTCAACCATGTTGACGGTGCACTCAGTTCCAATCATTAATTAGTTTCGTCTATCACATTTTTCTAGTCGAAGGAAAATTTAAACATTCATATTCCAATGCTCCTCCAATGACATCAAAATTTAATCAATGCACCCTTTGTAGCTTGATCGTAACATAGGCAAGTGCCCACAAGAGAAATGAATTTTATTATCAGATCTTTTTGGCACATTGATAAAATGCCATAATTTAATTTCCTTCTTTGTTAACTTGAGAAACACGAATCTTTAAAAACGTGAAACCCAATTAAGCCGTTAACTTTTCATAAATTCCCTTTTTTGAGCCCCATTTTTTGAAAATAGATTTTGTAAAAACTGATTTGTTTGAAAAATGTTTGATAAAAAGTAGGAAAAATTTTGGATTTACATACAGAATTATTCTATTAAAAGAATATATTGTTGAAAATGAGTTGGCAAAAAATAAGTTTTAAAGAACGTGGATCAAACAGAAGCATTACATATTTCATGGAATACACAATCTACTGACAAAGCCATTAACTAAAGGACTTCCATATCCTCTTTTTCTCACCTTCTTCGTAGGTGATTATCCACAAATAGTTCTTTTATAAATTTCATGAAATGCATGATCCTCAGATAAAGCCATCAAGTTTAGGACTTCTAATTCCTCTTTTTTCGTCCCACTTTATCGTGGGCAATTATTCACATAACTGACAATTTTTTTACAACCTTAAATCACATGGATAAGCATTCATATTTTTTAAAGCTAAATTCTCACTCCATTGGAGACCACCTGCACTCCAAAGTCCTGATCTGGAGGAATGAAATAACGGTTCTTCCATCACCACAATAGAGCTTTCTTCTCACTATAAAGTATTTGGCTTCTTCTAGCTTGACAACTTCATCTGAACCAAAAAAGCATGTAACTTTCTATGTTAATTTTTCGAAAAACAATAAAAATTATAACTGGCATGCTTGTTATACTTCCTCTCCAAATGTTACCAGTTCTATATTCGAGAAAAAAAACTGTATGTTTTTAAGTAATGCTGCCATGTAAGTAAGAGAACCCAACAGGCATGAAATATGATGCACAGATATGAACATGTGTTGTGTAGAATACGTCGACACACGATTTTTCGAAAAAATACTAACATGACACGTTGGTTAAATTTTTTAAAATTCTTAATTTACATATTTAGTTTTATATTTATTATTAATTTTTTTAATATATTTTAAATATGAGTACCTATTTGTTATTTAATAATAATTTTAATTTGAAAATATATAATATTTCGGATAAAGTAAAAAAAAAAAAAAACAATGATACAGTACTCGAGGAGTATCGATATCGGACACGTGTTAGATTTGGACACGCCACCTTACTTGAAGTGTTCATGCAATACAAAGCATGAAAAACTTTTGACTTATGAACAAGTTAATACAAGGAAATTCGCGTTCTTTACTTAGTAAAATAACATTGATAAGAAAGAATGTTGTGTGTAAAGTGGGCAATATTAGGATAGAACTTAAAAATCATATGTAGTTACAAGGGCTTCCAGTGATAATACTTAGTTCGAGAAGTATTCCTTAATTCGCATGCACCAAGTGGTCCAGGCCAGTGGAGCAAATAACGAAGGAACAAGCCATTCGAATTAAATAAAAAGTTCCAGTAGGCAACTAGTATCTCAGTCCTCAAATCTAGAAAGAGACTACATAGAAATTTAACTCGTCATAACTGCCACGGCGATCAGAAGAAAATAGTAAACAGATGACAAATCACAAAATAAATATGATTACTGGTAACTAAATAAAACAATAGAAAGAAGAAAAATAAATAAAAAAGCAACTATAAACCAGGGTCAGAAAAATTTCAGGGTGCAAGTAGAAAATTTTATACCACACAAAATTTCATAAATACTGTTATGGCAGAACAGGATGCCTAATAAACGTTCGATTGATCCCAAAAACTTGACTTATACTTCACCAGATTTGTAACCAAATTTTGTAATATACTTCTGTAAATATTACTCCACTAAATTGCTGAAAATATATCATACAATATCCATATAAATGATGATCACAGTGAAACGATTTATCCACTTTAAGACTTGTGTGCAATGGATGAATAATACGTACTTTCAGAAAAATGCATACCCTGGTAGAGATAAATTGTTTGACGAATTTGAGAGACCAGAGAAGACATTTGAGTATGTCTTGGTTAGATAAGAGAAGTTGGGAACTGGGGATAAAGATGGCACCCTTTCACCCTTCTTCAAAAGTTCTTGCAAGTTGAGCCTCTGCAAGGTCAAAACAGCCCTGGACTCTTTCCATATAAAAGCAAGCAATTCGTCGTGAATTACAAAGAGTGAACCAGGTTTCGAACCAGGATATCTGAATCCATACCCATGTGCTATACCTTCCCCCATAAAAGCCCACTTAACATTAACTGGATTGGAATCTTCATCAGTATCCCAAGGGAATATTTCTGATGAAGGCTGAGCAGTATTAACTTTAAACATTGCTGAGCCATTTGGATGCAACACATAGGATGTACCTTCTAAAATCTTGGTAGCAATTAGTTCCTGCTGCCCATCAGACTCTTCATAAGAGAGCAACAGAAAGAATAGAGCCTTTCCAGGCTTGTCTTCAGAAGGCCTACCTGGAGGCCAACCAAAAGTGCCTCCCCATAAACCAGCATACTCATGGTCTGACCTTGGAACCTGTATAGGCAACTTGTAGAGGGCAAATCGATTATCATGCATATTTGGCCATGCCTTATAAGAAGATAACTTCATGGTTGTAGCACGTAAAGTCAATCCTATAGTATCACCCGGGCGTAGAAACTCATGAAGCTGTGCGTGCTTACTCTCACAGTTGGTACCATTCGCTGAGCTTGATTTCCCAAGCATCTGTTTGATACCGCCCTTGATAAATCCAGAAATCGTCTTCTTCTTCAGAGTCCCATCTCTTGTCTGTGAAGTAAGATAACCAGAAGTATATTCAAGACTCTTTCTGACCTCGCTTGAACCTAATTGGGTAGGATCTAAATTTGATTCAGTCTTCAAATCATTGTGCCCAACACCACCCTTATACATTTGAAAAAGCAATAACCTCCTTTCATATAAGAATGCTAGATCCTTATGCAAATCAACCTCGTCATTTCTCAAGGGAGGAAACAATAAAGCATTTGATGCATCAGGGACCTGAAGACGAATTTGGCTGGTAATAATGTCAAGTAGCCTTCTCCTATCTCCAAATCCAAGCCGACTAAAGGGAACTACCATCCCTTTCTGTCCAGCCATTCTCTGTGATTTAGAAATCTCACCATCTGACCTAGATATCTTTCGTGATTCGTCCTTTTCTACTAGATGGGCAAAGTTCTTACTATGAACCAATTTACCTCCATTTCTCTGATGCCCAGGCTCAGCCTCAAGCAGAAGCACGTTGCAAGTCCTATCAACTGCTTTTAGCAAACCAGGATATACATAATCTTTTCCACTCTCCCTCCCGTGTAAAAAGAATGCAGTGGAGCCCTCATAGTTGCAAAGAATTTCAAATACAGTCGCCCATAATATAGGACCATCTTTGAGGCCTGAAGGACCCACCTCTTGGGGGATAATCCGGCACCCAACAATCGATAAGAAACCAGGCATAACATAAACTACATTGCCAAGCTCGGGGTTTTGGTGAACCCAAATCCCCAGCAACGGCAGAATATTCATTAGGAACTGGCAAAGCGCCTTATACGAGCAAATGCCCCTTCGCCATTCAATTAGGTCCTTGTAAGGAAATAACCCCAATTTAGTGCATTGTGCAAGCCACACCTTATCGGAGGCCACTACAGAGTGAAGGCGTCGACAGCAGAGACCAAGATTAATCACGTCCCTCGGAGAGAGGGATCTGCTGACTACGACAAATATGTCGTCTGGTAATTCCATAAAAAAGCTTAATCCACGCTGATCGGTTAACATTACAGTATGTGTAACTTTTCCTGATAGAGTTTGAAGCTTTTTAGGCGTATGTATATTCATGTAAAAATTCTGAAATTAAGGGAATTCAAGAAATTGTTGAAACGTTACTTGACCCAATCTATCATTTGCTATAAATACAAAGAAGGTTCCATTCGTACCTTTTCAAGAACCCTTTTTATTCCAAATCGGGGCAAAACGATTAGATTTTGAACTGAGGGTTAACTGGGATTACATCGGATTCTCCAAACTCCGCCTGTAGATTTTGCATCGCGAAAGAAGAAAAATTCAGCAGGAATTGAAATTGGTTACTCAAGGAAAGTTTCAATTTTAAAATAGATGATAGGCAGATTGACGTGAACCTTTTACCAGGGTTAAGATGAGCAGAAGTCATCAATTCACTAACTACTTAAGAGAAAATGGACAAGTTCGTATGTGTGGTGGCGAGTGTGAGTGAGTGGTAGGGGGCAGGGCCCCCGGCGGTGTGACATGGACGGGAAAATATTACAAAACTGTGTTCTGTTGAACAGTGCAATATTAACAAGTTACACGTGACATTCTGTTATTTGACAATTTCAGAAAATAATTATCTTTTCACTCGTACATTTTTGTCTTTCTAGAAATTAATGGTCAAAAATTTATTTGGAATAAGAATTTTTTATTAACAAAAATTTCTTTCACATCCAAATTCAATATTGTGGAAGAACCTAATATAATTGATATAATAGGATTAGGATCTTTCACTGGAAAAGGATTAAAATAGGAGGAAATGGGATAAGTCGGATTTATGATGACTATCCAAAAATTTCAATGTGTGCAGACTCTATAAAATAATAAAAGTTAGCTCATGTTTGTCAATTATTCTATTATATTATTTTTTTTACGGTATTCATTTTGAAAATCACACATTTTTTATTAAAATAATATTACACAAAATTAAAAAAAAATTCTTTTTTAATCAAATATTTCAACATCAATCATTATTTCATAATATATTTTTTGAAATTAAAAGGGGACAAGGCCCTTAATGCAGGAATGGTAAATTCCATTCGAGCCTGCCAATTTTGAACTCAGCTTCATACCGAAGCCAAATTCTCCACAATCACTAGAAAAGTCCAAGCAGCAGTGCCTAACGCATGTGGCCACGTTTGCCCATCAAATTTACTTGTAATTTATGTAGAACATGTTTGGTCCCCATTTCAACTACGTTATTATAAAAATGAGAATAAAAATATAGTCATTATGGGTTCTATACAAAAAATAAAAAGTCTAATATGATGACTTGATATAATAGATAACGGTCATATTTTTCATTTTAATGAGAAAATAATGGGTTCAAGTAAGGCCTGGGTAAATTTTTTGTATTTTTCTTGAGATTTAAACATTTGCGTTTGCACACATTTCTATTTATTATAATTTAAATAATTTATACACATTTTTTAAACAAGTTTTCATTTAGCCCCGTTTGAACCACATTATTGTAAAAATAAGAATGAAAAATATAATCGTTATGGGTCCCACACAAGAGAGAAAAAGTCAAATATGATGGTGTTTCGCGCATGTTAGTCGCTAACAATTAAAAAGGGATCAGACGATTGTGTAAGGGACAAACCTCTTGAGACAAAGTCCCAAAAAGGGGTGTTCTTTATTGGCGGTGACTTTACAATCGGAAATTAAAAACAAAATACCTCCAAGTGGCGCAAGCACACGAGTTACTGAAAAAAGTGTTTAAATCTAAGCTAAGAAATTTAAAATTACATGTTCTCTATTCGAGAGTTTTTGATTCGGTCCTTTGCTCTATGTCATTCCTTCCTTTTATACTTCTTGGATGATCTTCCTTGTGATCAACCGCCTAAAAACTGTTGGATCGTTCTATAACTGTCCACTTTCCTCGTAATGGCCAACTTGTCATGGAACTACCTTTTCTAACTGCTTTCATTACTCTTTGTCGTTCAACCGTCTTCAATTAAGTTCCTTAAATCGTGGAACGCAATAGGGCTGCTTTGATAACTGCACTTCTTGATAACCACAACACTTCATGTTTGCTAAGACCTTGGGCGACTCGAAGGTTTGGGCGAGAATAGAGTAACAGCT